GGAACCTTTTAGATCTCAAGGAATAATAATTTCATTAGTAATAACAGTAATTACTGGTATTAACTGTAATTTGGTAATAACACAAAATAATGGCTATTTTTCACTGTTAAATAACATGGTTCTGAAGTATGTGTGTGGATCTGACCTACCTAATGTAGTACAAACCTGTCACACAATCTTTCTCTGGGCAGTCAGCTAAAGCATTCTGTAGATGTGCTCTGTAGCACAGAAATTAACAACAAAAAATATAGGCTAGTCATTTCTGGAATGAGGTCTAGTGATTAAGAAATGACTTATGCAGATTTAAGAGTTTCCCATGAGGTACTCATACATATACATAGACATTTTCTCAGAAATAAATTATGTGCTTATATGTGTTCCAAATTTCTTATTCTCTTAATTTGTCGTCATTTTGGTTTAGGTTCAATAACTGAAAATAGTGAATGGCAGACAGAAGAGGGCTATGGAACTACAACATTTTGGAAAAAGTTCAGGGAAGAAAAAGAAAAAGCTGTGGCTTTTGTTCACTGACTTATGTGAACCGGTCGCACCAGTTCAACTTAATGGAAGAGTTTCACATGGTTAATAATGTCACCACAGAATCAATGAGACTGACTTGGGCAGACGCCTAAATCTATACAAAGCCCTCTGGTTTTCATTAGGTGTTCAGGCACACAAAAGGGCCTGCCTGCACAGGATGAAGTCCTCAAGTTGCGCTTGTGTCCTCAGGCTGCCCGCTGCCTTCAGTCTCACTGCCTCAGCAGGACTATGACATCCCTCTTACTCACAGGGACAACACTTTTTGTACAGTAGTGGAGTAGCACAGGGACACTGATACTGTAATTGCCCATTTGCTACCTCATTCGGGTAAAAGAGCTGACTGCACACATATGCCACCTAAACCCATGTGTAAGGTATACTCAGCGTGCAGCTCAATCAACTTCCACTGCATTCTGCTAACCCAGAGTTAGGAAGTCTGAGAAAACTTTTACTTAAGAAACGGGCTAGTTTTACTATGCAGATGGGCCCCAATCTTGCAAGTGCTGACCCTTACATACGTGATCCTTACAATGAAAACTTGGACTTCTGAAAAGTGCCTAGATCCACGAAATTCTTCTTTCAAAGAAAAAAAAAAAGAAGAAGAAGAAGAAAGTGACACAATTTAAAATACAGGAGGTACTCCACTTTTACATGTTTCCAACCAACAGGTACACTTTGGGGATCTAAGTAGCTCTTCCATTTGAAATTTATTTTAATTTCTGACATAATTTAATTTATGTGATTTTGTAAAAAAAACACACCAAAGTATTTGTATTTATATTCATAGATTAGACACTAATACTAAGCATTGAAAGAACAAAAGAAGAAAAATGTACTTTGTCCAAAAAAGTTTGAAAGCAGAGTGAGCATAATCACTACTTTAAATGATTCAAGAATGAACAAATGTAAAGTCCTAATAGAAAACATCCTTTGTTTTCTATCAATGATAATAATGAGCTATTTTGTGAAATTTAGTTTTAAGTGGAATTTCTTGAGCAAGCACAATGATAGGAATTTTTCAGGATAATTTTGCTATGTTTCATTTTGGAGATATATGACAGATACTGAACCAGTAGAAAGATTCCTGTCAACTTCAATGGGGCTTAAATATGACTTACGATCTTCTACATTTTTGCAGTGATATGAACAACAGAGGTTGTTAAAAAGTATTAATCTGAATTGTGAAGTAACTGAACAATACTCTTTCTTTAATTTAATCCTGCTATCACTTCCCCTCCTGTAACCTATGAATTCTCCCAACTGATGATGCATTCCTTAGGATCAAAATGTTTTTCTTCAACTTTTGAAACACTACCAGTGAATTTTCACTGTGAATTTTCACCAGTGAAATTTTTCTTCACCTGGGCAACCTGGGAATGCTTGATTTATCAATTTTTATAGGTAATACTTGTCTCTGATACAAACCCGTAAAAAATACATAGATGGAGATGGCAGCATTGTCTAACAAGTGTTTTGGTCCAGACCTGTGATTTTACTTTGACTAACCAGTGCGTGTAGCCACATAAGACTAAAAAAGTTAGACTTTTAAGAATTCTTTATACAGAATTAAAGCTATCATCAGCCCGTAAAACTCCATGGACTTATGAGCTTCCACAACTACAAGACCTAAGAATGGGCCAGACAACATTATTTCTAGTGAGGTTTTTTTGTCCTTAGGATCCCAGAAGAGTTACAAGCTCTTAGGAAACAATCCGAAAAAACAGCTTCTGCAGTTTCAGTTGTTACTACCACTTAGGCTTTTGTCACGTCCCTTTTGCTGCAAGTTTGTTGTTTTCCACAGCTTTTTGATAGGATAGAGTTTATCTGCTTTGATGGAAAAATCAGGCTTTTTTAAACTCAGTTTACCACGAGCTGCAAGGTTTTGCCCCAAGGCAGGTAAGAAGCACACACACATCCTGCTGCATTGGCAAGGAGCTGTAACCTCCAGAAAAGCCGTATCAGCTATGCAGCTGTTTCTGCCTGTGAACATCTCCTTGTGGGCTGAAAGTAGGCTGCAGGTGGCTCAGCCTTCCTTCTAAGTATACAGCTAAGGAAAGAATTCAAGTAGCTTTCTCCTTTCTGCTCCCCAACTGGAGTCAGTACAAATAGAGACTAATCCTTGTGAGAGAAAAACCCTGAGAACCCTAGCTACCCACCTAAAAGGCTTGATAGCTACCTCCATCCGAGTGGGATCAGTTCTCTCTCCTCTGCAGTCACACCTAAGATGACCAGCATTGAGAGCACCTGCTGTGCCTGTTGTAGGAACGGGATGAATAGGAAAATGGGTTGTTCCCAGGGTCATTGTGGTTTGCTCTGCGAATCTGCTGCAGCAGAGTGACTCTGCACTGCTCCTACTGCAGGGTTGTAGCTTATGCCACAATGTACCCTGAAATCTGTTCCTTGCCAATTATCCCTATAACTCATATTTGGTTTAAAAGTCAAAGCAAGTTTTGTTCAGCAGCCAGCTGCAAGCTGGGTATAGTTTCAAAAAAATCAATCTGAAGTATTTATGCTTCATAAATCACCATCAGCTGATACATATTGGAGAATCAGAACACTGCAAGCAGATAGCTGCAGCAGAACAAATTTTGTTTAATTTCTAATTTATAACTAGTATTGTTTATTAGCTCTGCTGATAAGAGTTGTGTGATTCCAAGTGCTAGTACAAATCTGTGAGGAAAATCCCCTCTTCTGTAGCAGGATAGTAGTGAAGGTACTGTAGCAAAGTCAAAGGGGCTGAAGGATCCACAGGCTAAGGCAACACAGTTGAAGAGATACATGCAATTTCAGGACAAAAATGAAAAGGGAAAAAGATGTGCGGCTGGTAACTCTTTCCCCTTGCAACACTATATACATGGCGTCTACATGCTCAAGCAGAGCAAACACAGCTTACTCACTTCTGTCACCTGCCTCCTCCACAGTTTGTGTGGAACCAGTAACTGCAGTACAGACTGCCAGCACTATCTGATAGTCCCTGCAGCTTCTCATTTCATGACTGGCTTGATTCACACAAATTATGAGGTTATTTCTGTAAGGAAGGACTATTCATGAAACCAAAGATTTTTCTTTTGCACACCTAGCAACAATGTACATGCACACATCCAGTCATTGGGGGCACAAACTAGAGGAAGTACAAATATTTGACAATAGAAGACAAACCAATCGAGTGTCCTCAAAGGAAGGGGACGTCGTTTACCACCACCACCACTAGCTTGGTGATGGAGATTTCACAATTTAGCTTTGTCTCCTGAAACAGAATCACATTTAAAAAAATCCAGAATATAAATAGTTGACCAAGCTCTGTCTTGAAAACTAGTGAAATAAGGCATACGAGGGAGAAAGATCTCATTTAAGTAACACTAACATTTGAAGTGTTCTCTCCAATGCCAGTCACACACCTGTGTTTTCTGGGCTTCAGCCACACTCCTTGCAACAAATTTAGCACTGGTGTAGTTATCTGTAGATAAGGTTAGTATGGAAGCTTATGCCTCTGTTCTTCCACAAACATGGTCAATAAAAGCTTTACTATGTGTTAGTTGATTCAGAGTTCAAAGCTTCTATTTGATGCCTCGTGGATATATTAAGCAGATAGGTTTAATAAAGCCTCTCTGGCATTAATTCTCTAGCAATAATCATGTAGTAAAGTGAATTGGATCCCTACTGCAATACTGATGGTTATTTTGTAACTATGTGCAATATTAATAGCTATGAACGCTTTCCTGAAGGACATGCTTTCCAAGGCCACAAGAAAGCATATAATTAAATACATTTAAATGTCAATTATTTTGCTGCATTTTGTGGCCTAAGGCTGAACAATAAAGATGTTCAGGATTCAATCCCTCCATGCAGAGAGGAAGTTAAATGAACTCTGTGCAAAACTAGGCTAAAGCAATACAAGGATTAGGGCGGCTCAGAACTTGCCGTTGGGAGGAACGGAGGATGGATTGGAGGAATCACAGGAGTAAACCAAGGCCATGGTTGTTTTCCTGCCTTTCTCCCATCCCAGCAATTTGCAGTCCCACATAACTACCTCCTCTGCCCATTTGTTGAGCTGGGCTCGGCTCTGGGAACGAGCGGACGCTGAACTAAACGCACATTTAGGCTATAATATCACATACTGGGCAGAATCTGACAAAGCGAAGCAGGAGTGACGTGCTGGGTTATTTGCATTAACAATAAGATGTAGGGTTGAAAATGGCAGGAATGCCTAAATGGGTGGAAAGCCCGTTATATACATACTGCAGGAAGTATTCAAACGCTGTTAATGCTTTATGCAAAGATTAAGTAAACGTGCCAAGCTCAGTGTCAGCATGAGTGGTCTGGTATGTAATTGCCCGTTGCACAAACGACCAGCAGTTTAAGTCTTCGTGAACAGCCGCTGTATCTGTGCCTAGTGGTGCTACCCCCCCCGGTTTTGGGGGCTATTTTTTTTTTTTTTTCCCCCTCCATCTTTTCGGGAGCGCGGTGTGTCCTTACGAAACCAGAGCCGAACACAGAAACGCCAGCCCCGCTCCTCACCGGAGCCGGGCCGTACCCAGGAGGTCTGAAAATCCAGCACGTTGCGGGGCTGTGCCACGGGACGCAGCGCCAGCCCTTCGCGCTGACGGCCAGCGGGTTAATTCCTTCCCAGCTACGGACGGGGGAGCGTTGCCTTAAAGCAGACAGAAAAGACCCTCTCCGCGCCGCACCGAAGGGCTCCCGGGACCCCTCCTCAGCGTTAGGCGGGGGCAGAAGCCCAGGGGCCGCCTCAAAGGGCCGCCCCAGGCCGGCGGGACCCGGGCCCGGTGGCGCAGAGGGGTCCCGAGGGGCCGGGGTGGGACGGCGCGGCAGCGGCTCCGGCTCGGCAGCGCCGCGGGGGCGGGGAGGGGAAGGGAGGGAGGGAGGGAGGGGAAATCCCCAGGATCTCCCCCCGGAGAGGGACACGGCGTTAGTCAGCGGGACCCTCCCCCTGTGCCGTGTCAGCCCGGCGGTAGCACCCGCTCCTCGCTTCCCGCGCAGCCGACGGGACGCGGCGCCTCCGTGAGGGGCGGGGCGCGGG